TTAGACCACACCCCTTCTCATTACAGAGATGCACATCACCTAATATGCTTAATTGGTAGTAGGCTTTCGAGCCTATATAGCTTGGAGTAAGACAACATGCATAAAGAGGATGATGTGGTCAAAATACTCAATTGCCTAATAATTCTGCACTCCCTGTATGCCACTATCACCTATGCCATTTGGGCCACCCTGGTGACTGGTACCGGCGCTTGGCTCTAATAAAACTGACATTGTCAAGGTTTTTAAATTACTTCCCATTCACCCTTCACTATCCATTTGCACTGCATTTAAGTGACATGAGCTTTATTATTTCTCACGACTCACTTTTTGCTTCAAGTGCAGCCCCAGAATCTGTGCTACTTGGCTGATACTTTGTGTTGGTTATGGCTTAACATGTACAGATGTCCGTCCGTTATTTCTTCCAGGAAAATTTCCCCATGATTGAGACCAAGGCACCCCCCCCCTAGCAGACTTACACGCATTATTGGCTTTTGAGCACCTGGCTATCCAAGTCTCCCCTCACAAGACCTTAGGTCCTGATAACACCACACAATTTTGGGCATCCTACTAGACTCGATCCACATGTAAGCTAGCCTTCCCCAGGACATAGATTGAGCGCAACCCTTTCAGGCATTTGAACTCTACTGGCATCTAGGTCTTGCAACCGCGAGTGACTTCAATCACTGCTGGGGTCGCTCAATTTTGCCATGAGACTCATCCCACAGGGTAGATCCTTAATTTCCTAGTTCCTTATCTTTATTCCCACGACTCACCACGTATCACGTTAGACCTCTGATTTACTTATGTGGCGCTTCCCTCATATACGGGAAAGGGCGAGCCATGTTTATTCCCCCTCTCTGACAGTTCACCCACCATTTGAACAGATGCCGTGTCAAACTCTGGTTTTGCTGCCATCGGAGGGGGTAAATGGCATTTGGGGGCATGGCCCACAGATGTTAAGTCCCAGCCCAGCTTCTCCTCTACTTCGGCCTTGTTTGAATGATATCCGATCATGACAGCTGCCATTGCTTGGGGACCAATATGGTCCTGTAACTCGGTCGGATGTTATTCACATACCCCTAGCCACATTGTGCATATAGGCCGATCTTCATCTCTGGTCATCAGGAGACTGTTCAGGAAACTCACATGGGTAGCCACTTGCTAATCTTATCACATGTATTCACGTGCCGGGTTTCACAAACATCTTAGCTGGCCTCTTCCATGGGTTGCATTTCAGGCTTTCTGCCAGACACTACCCACCACTTCCCTGCTTGCTAACCTGCCCCACCTTTCCTAGACATACTCATGGATTAAATGTCTGGTTTAACCTTGCACGTCACGTTTCTATCCTTACACTTTCAGTCAATACTAGAAATTATATGATAGGGTGTTCACATATTTTCACTAAGTCTATTGGGGAGTTTTAAGTTCTTGACATATTTGCTATGGAATCTATTTTAGAGTTCTCTTCTTTTTTGCCACCTTAACTTAAATTATCATTTAACACAATTAAACGGTAACTTAGATATCCAACACCACATGCTTCTACGACACCCCAACAATACAGGATTCCTTTCAACTTATCTGACAAAGACCTACTGAAAGGAATTCAAAATTCAAGACTCACGTACCATCTCAAAGGCTACCCATCCACACGACATATTCCATTCACTATCTGACTTAGTAGATTCAGCTCCTTTTGAGCACATGACCTATACCACAATCAAACGGCCGTACATCTAGCATGCTATCTAGTTCTTACGTCCCAATAAATTTAACACTAGGAATATAGCTACCACTGAATACCTGGGAACGACTGATATCCAGTCACATTAGATCATTAGGTGCTATCTCTGCATCAGTCTATACCTATCACTATAGCACATACGGTCACAATACCCCTATTACCTATTCTAAACAATGGTGCCAGGTAAAGTTCTGGATACTTATTGCACCACTTTCCAGATACAACCACTCCAACCATTATCAGAACATCACGGCTCCATTCTTACAGCATATCAAGTCATGCTTCATGTTCACTTACTGTTAACTAGGCACGGCCTAATACAAACCTTTCCTCAGGACACTCCTTCCGCATAGGGGCAGCATCCTCAGCTTCCTCCAGCCACATTCCAGCTCATATTATCAGGGCTATGGGATGCTGGAAATTCTCCGCCTATGCTCTTTACATTCCGAACCCAGTTAAAGAGCTAATACAAGCTTTTTGTGACTAAACGATGGTTGTTATATGATTAATTGTGTATGGTATTCTTCTTTTTGCCCACTTTTATTACAGGCCTACTGCTCTGTCGGTTCCAGCACACCACAACAGACTGGTGTCATTTGAATATGTCTATTGGTTATAATATGCTATGTTACATTATCATTACGGCTAGATTGCCCCGACTACAAATGTAAGGCCTTGGCCTGTAGTTGTGGGAGGGGCTTGAATTCCCTTTAAAAGGGCTGCCAATCCTCTCCCACCTTACCGTGGACAGTCTGGCGAATCACCCCTCCCACCGCTCCCTCTATTCATTATCACCCTCTAAGGTGGGCCCACTTTTATTACAGGCCTACTGCTCTGTTGGTTCCGGCACACCACAACCGACTGGTGTCATTTGAAAATGTCTATTGGTTATAATATGCTATGTTACGCTATCATTACATACAAACTAAAAGACACACCTACTGAAACAGACATCCACACATATTGAGACACACAGACATACATAGTGACACACAAACACATACTATAAAAAAGAAAATCCAGCGCACTCCATCCATTAAACAGCAACTTCGATGCGGACAGATTTTGTTCATTTTTTAAAAACACCTAATCTAGGCAAAAAAGAATGTGGGTTGTTACATTTATATGATCATACATTGCATAAGCCTGCCACAATGTCAATGTACCCCATCTTTGGCAGGTCCTACTCTAACAGCCTAATGTCTGCTTCATGAGCTACTTGGGGAAAAAATTCCATCTAGAGTTCTCTGAAGTACTAGGCTAAATAGGGCCCTGGGAGGAGGCACCTGTGACAGGGAGGGGTGCAAAACCAAGGAGTTTGCTAGACTCCCAAATATATATGAATCCAGGGGGCTGGCTGCACTCACCTGAACCTCCCAGCAGCACCTTATTAATGAATGTTCAGGTGAGTGCAGCCAACCCTCTGGTTTAACAAACATACAGGTACATACATACTGACAATGATTTAAAATCTTAGATATTGTAATAGTTTTTTATAAAAACACCTCACCTAGGCAACGAAAATAATGGGGGTTTAGTTACATTATATGATCATATATTGCATAAGCCTGCCAGAACGTCAATGTACCCCATTCTTTGCAGGTCCTACTCTAGCAGCCTAATGCTTGCTCTTATGAGATTAATCCACTTACTTAGGAAATACATTCTTTCTGGGACTCTCTTCAAGTCAAGGCTAAATAGGGTCCTGGAATGCTATATATATATATAAACGCATACACAATATCCACTAATAATTTACTATTATCATATTAATCATGTAAAATTAGTACTAAGTTAATAATATAGAATATTCATGGATATAAGGAATGAAGAAATATCCTATTATTCACTAATGTTAATAGACATGGATAAATAACACTAACTACACGGTTTCACACAAGAGAACCAGTCACCAAATGATAGATAACACTAATCAATGAATTTACTTTCTAAAAAACGGAACATTACTTTGCATTACATTACCATTGTAAGAAAAGGGTGAATCTAAGGCTACAAATGCCAACTCTAAAATTATGATGCTAAATACAGACACTAAGTCTGGGTAAGAGTGAACCAAAGTCTTTGAAGATGACAGCTTCTGTGACAAATAATAGTCATAAAAAGATAACAAAATGACGTAAAATACATCACCAAATTCAGTTAACCCATTATACAAAAAGGTAAATGGACTCCTGACACAAAATTTTGGTGATGTAATTGCGCCATCTACTGATCAAAATCTAGATGATAGTCTCTAGGGAAGACATGCCCACAGTTAGCTATTGGTTACTATTAACTATTGACGTGCAGAGAATTTCTGCTTTAAAAAGTAAGGACAAAGGGAAGAGAGGACACTCTCAAACTCTCAGGTACTTACATATTTTGACTCTTGAACTGGACTCAAGGCTCCCACTTCCAGGCTCAAACACTCTCATGGACACACCTAATTCTTAGTATTTTCTTTTTTTTCCAACTAACACAACTTCAGAACTCTGAAAACGTTTCTATGTTTCTACAGTTCTCATCATACTTGCATTCGACATTGCTGGGACATCTCTACATATCTGATAGAAAATCTACAACCTAACTGTTAATTATGCTGGTTTAATTAAATTACTTGATTTTATTAAAAGGCAGAATATACTTGGATAGAAGCTGGTGATTCCAACAATTACGGAGGCATGATTCGTTAATAATATATAGAATTTGGAATCCCATTCCTGCAGGTGGACCAATGAACTCTATATTACTTTTAACTTTAAAAATAGAATACCGGGGGGGGGGAAGGGGGTGGAGGGGAACTAGCAGCCAGGGAAAAAGACAATCAAGTCCCGGCAGGAACTGAGCGAGGGATCCCGTGGATCTGCTCCACACTAGGCCGCAACCCAAGATGGCGGCCCAGCTGCAAAGATCGCCTTCCTGCTCCTCGGGTGAGTTGGAGTATGATGCTCCAGATCCCACCCCAGAAGCCAAGGCCTCCGCGGCTAGGAAGGAGAGAAGAGCCACAGAGGTGGATGCAGACAGCGCCCCAACTACCAAGGGTGACCTTAAACTCCTTCTGCAGGAGCTACGCACCATGTTTCAAGCAGACTGCGCACTGCTCCGGGAGGACATGCATAAAGTCAGTTGAAGACGGCCCGCCAGACTCACCTCGTTGCTGCCCTACTCACCCAGCAGCTCACACAGCAACATGCAGCGCTCGCCCGCCTAGAAGATACACAGCGCCGACACAACCTGAAGATCAGGGGGATGAGCAACGGCACTGAAGAGCATCGCTATGCCCCATTACCCAGCTACTACAGGCAGCTGGGATTCGCTACAGATGGGGCATACCATGAATGCTGTGTGCCTACTGAGAGGGCAAGGATCACAGACTGGAAGACAACGCCGGCGTACCTGGCTTTTTTCAAGCCCTCGGTCTACCTGACCAACCAGCTTCGGAAACTGCTCTTACGTCCTCCTCACAATGGGACATAGGTTAGTCACAGGAGTGGGAGGATGCATTAAACAAGCTGGGTCTGGTGTTCAGTTTAGGCTTGTACCGGTGGGTGAGCTAAGTATTTATAGGAGTGTTAATCGATTGTAGGAGTGGAGCGGCTTGCTTCAAAGCCCCATTACCCTGGGGGAGGAGAGGGGTGTCGTATTAAGGGCGGTCATAGCCATCTTGGGTTGCTTAGGACTTTACTGATTTTTCCTCATCAATTGAGGTCATGCATTGAGGGAGAACTGAGTTAAGAATAAAACGAAACAATAATAAACTAAAGTATAATGATCAGGGTGTCAGGTTGCAACATTGGACCCTGCAGAGGTATCTGAACGTCCCGGTTAACCCTGGGCTATCAGGGTCTCTTCACCCATTGCCTGGTGCGTTCCTGAGCGTGAATGGCTCAGGGACTTCCTCAGGAACAATCTTTGACAAAAATGCTAATACGAATGCATTTGGTACCCATTTGTATTTGACAAAAATGCTAATACAAATGCATACCAAATGCATTGTATATTGTGCTAAGATTGTCCCTGAGGAAGTCCCTAACAGGGAAGAAACACGTTGGACTGATATACCTGCTATAATTTACTTTGATGTGAGTAATAAATGCTTTTTTCACTTTTTATTTATACAATCATTTGATTTATTTTTTGCACCTTGTTTTCTATATGAGATTTACATGCATCAAGCATTGAAGCAAGAAGGCACACCAAGTATATTATTTTTTCATTCTCACTATAATCACTTTTATTTAAAATGTATGTATCACTATATGTGGATATTGGAATCACTATTGTGAGTTTACGAGTGTGTGAGAGATTTCATATATTTCTCTGATTTGACTGTCCGCCAAAATTTTATTGCTTTATGCTGGGCTGCTGTAAAGTTCTGTGAATTTGGTTTCTCAGTGAAGTATCCTATCGTAAATCTTATTGACATCTGTTGCATTTTAACTGTTGCTTTTATTTGTCTATATTATGTTAAACCACTGCCATATTGTATACTTATGTTATACCTAAATATTCACTGATTGTCACGCATGTTACATATAATATTTTTATTATTATTGTCACAATAAATTATATTTTTATAATTAATTTGTGATTATTGTGTGGAGTAAAATATTCTAATGAAATAAGACATACTCCAGGATCTAGGAGAATTAAAATAGTGGGTAATTCTCAGCTTTATATCATTAATCGGGGAGACAGTGACACAATATCACATTTTTATATAATAAAAATTATTAAATTATTTTTTGATATTTTTTGATAAAATTATATTACATATGGATGTGGAAAGAGCGCAGGTAAAAAAAAAAAAATTCTTTGGTTTTTACTATATGTATTTTGGCTGATGTGTACTATAGTCATTGCTGCCGCCCAGGAGTAATGGGAGTTTGAGCGCAGGACTAGTTTATTTGTATTAATATTTATCACCCCATAAATATCCTCCAATTTGGAGGCAGACTGCTGAGATCATTAGTTCAAATTATATTTCACACAGTAATTCGGAGGCATTGCTATTTGTGTAATTCATGCAATATTAATCTTGATATAGAAAAGAGTTTTGTATTGAGATTGTATAGAAATATGGCGATCCATCTGTATCAGACAATGTCCAAATAATTGGAGACCTGAGACTTCATGCTCTAGTTCATATTTATGTGGGGCTTCAGTTAGTACTCAAGTTGTGGGACTGCTGGGTTGTGTCAGTTCCATGTGTTGTGGTCAGGCTCACTGTGTTGTGCCGGTTATTGTTGTCTACCTGTGTTAGTGGAGGTGAGCTGTTGGTCATGAGTGGCTCGTTTGGGTTGGTTACCCCTAACTAAAGGGGGGGTGGAGGGGGCTTTTTCGGGCGCCCTGTGGTTAGTGTGTTGTCTCTCGTGGTTTTAGAGCTTAGGTGTCCTCTGCCAGGGTCAGTGCATCAGTGGCGTCTAGTGTTTGGATGTTTGTAACGGAGGCTAACGAGTTGAGAAAACAAAACATAAGTATAATTTCAGTAAAAACTCAAAATATTTTGTGTGCAACAGTCACGTTGGCAAAGCCTGCGGTATCCGTCCCCTTCATTCATGGTACAGGGTATTGTGATCTGCTTGGTCCAGGTTCCCGCCGGGCGGCATTCCCTGGGTCTTGTGCCGGGTTGGGTAGTCTCAGGGTGGTTAGGAGGGTAGGTGCGTCCTCCACAGAGGTCAGGACATGGGTAGTGCCATCTTGGGTTACCTCCAAGGTCCCGTTAGCGCCCCACTTGTATGCGATTTCTGCTGCTCAGAGTTTTGTAGTGAATGGTCCATAGGATTTGCGCCACATAATTGTGGCTTTTGATAAATCCTGGAAGAACGTTAGGGAAGATTTCTTGAATAGCAGTTGTGTTTTGCCTTTCAGCCCGGCCATTATCTGTAGTTTGCCTTGCACTGTGGCGCATCTGAGGATGACGTCTCTGGCCGTTGTGGACTTTAGGTGGGATGGGGTAGGCAGGCGGTATACCCCGTCAATTTCTTAACCGCTGTGTGTGACAGGATTGTGGCTAGGAGGCGTCTGGTGTATTGCGGCAGCTCTTCGGCCGTTATCTCAACGGGGATGCCCCTGATTTTAAGGTGAGAGCAGCGTTGTCGACATTTTGAATAACAGGTACGTTTGTTGTTGCTGGATTTGTTTAATGGATTCTTCCATTGTGTTTATGTGAGCGTGTACTGTCACTACTTCTGCCTGTGTGGCTCTCACCTTTTCAGTGACCGTGTGTAGTTCGGTCTTGAGGAGGGCTGAGTCAGCTGCTAGGAGTTTTTGGATGACTGCTTTAAGTCACGTTTGGTGGTTGGTGCAGATTAATCTGGGGACTCCAGTAGCGGTTGCAGCGGTGCTTGTGGATGCCCTGGTAGGTCAGTCCTGGGTTGAGGTGGGTTGTGCTCCCTTTCAGGCTGTGCTACCCATGTGGGTCCTTGTAAATCTGGGCATTGTTGTGCCTGGCTGTGTGTCACACCCTGCTGCTGTGGTTGTTGATGCCCAGGGGGTACAGACCCGTGCTGGTTTGTTTTGGGTGCCTGAAGGGGCCCAGGTGATACTGGCCGTTGTCGAGGTGGGGTAGATGTCTGGGTCACCTCCGGCGTCGCTGCCGCGGGTGTGGGTTTAGGCTGGGCAGGCTTTTGAAGCAGAACCCCAATGTCTCTGCCCCCGGCCGTACCTTGTGTCTTTTGTGACCGGCGCCCCATAGCTGGTAGGTAAACTTGAGCGCTGGATAGGTCCGGGGAGTAGGAGGTATCGGTGTGTTCCGCCGTGTATCCGCAGAGTTTGAGAGCTGATTAGAATGGCGTCTGTTTGTGTCGGCTTGCTAGCCCCACCCCCCCGCTTGATTATTCTTATGCAGATCCTAGCGTTTCACCCATTACGTCATAAGGGAGCGGAGCAAGGATCAGGAACAAGGAAGTGACAGGAGCAATTGACTTTTAAACAAACGCTTTTCGTGGAAACTTGTTTGTCACAAGCCCACATCTTGCTGATTACACAATACCTCCTGTACCCCTAAAGAATTCTGGGGAGTAAGTGAATATTATAGCGCTACACACTTCCACTATTACATACTGGTTATGCAAATAGTGTATTTCTTCACATTTTGATCACAATAGGATTGGAGAATTCCTATTTTTGTTGTGAGAGCTGCTGCATCAAAAGAGCACTTTTAATTTCTTTTAAGCGCCTGTTAAGCACAGAATATCTTATTATATTGTTACTCAAAGATTAATGCCTCTGACAGTGGAGACCTTATATCTAAATTTAATGAAACTGACAATGCTAGGATGATAAAATTTGAAAAGAAGATAGTTAGTTAGTAAGAAAAACTCCAAATTCATGAGAGAGAAAAGAAACTATGACACTGGACTTATAAGAAATTGGCAAAGAAAAAAATAGGAACAAAAAGAAGAATTTCCATGTACAAAAGAATGAACCTCGCCATAATGGTTCATATCTCCCTAATCGATACTCTGATAAAAGGAAACTTTCGTCATCAAATCATTTTCCTAAGGCAAATTGAACTCCTCAATTTAGTCGCAAATCATATGCAGAGATAGTCCATCATAATCCAAGACTGTATCAAGAGCCTGATCACCCCCACACCCCTAAGAATTCCAAAAACCACTAATGGAGAGGACGGGACAATCCCGTTATCCCTTTAACACGCCAACAAGTGTCTTCAACCGATAATCAATTGGTTAACAATTCACGTACAAATGCAGCCCTGATTGATCTAGGGGCATGCCCTAAAGTCCCTGTGTCAAACAATACAGAAGACGAAAACACTTGTTTTGGGGGATGGTCTCCTGCATGTTCTTAGAACATTCCCTTTATTTACAAAAATGGGAGCCAGAAAGAGGGACGCACCCATAAAGGATCAAGGGGAAAGGGATTTAAACCAGAACAAAATGGCATGTCTCCCTTAAAAGGGATCTTTAATCTGTCCACACACATGAAAACCTTCAGAAATCTCGCTACTAAATAAGGGACTTAATTTTGCCCCCTTTATGAATCCAAATATCCTGGATCTATTTAGAGACTTGAATCAGTTTATTAGAAAATTGACTCTCACAAGATCCTTCAATATTAAGGAGGACAATAGTGCCAATTATTGTCCTGGGTTTCTGAATAATCCACAGGATAAAATAATATTTAAGAATCTAATGAATATTTTAAATGAACAATATGAGTTGAATACTGAGGTAGATGCCCTAGATGTATTGAATGCTAACGTGACCACTGGTTTGAAACCCCCCTCCACCAACTATCCAATTGTTGATAAGGGAAATTTTATACCCATTTTTTATGAACTAGTGATGAAAGATTTTAAGGCACTAGCTTCCAACTTGAGTACTGGCCATAAGAAACAGATTCCTCATAATAATCTACTTCAATCTGAAATGGGAGCTCTAAAAGATCTTAAAAATAGTCGGAACATTATTATAAAGGGGCGGCCTCCTTGATAGAGAGGACTATCTAAAAGAAGCCAATCGTATTCTGGGTGATAAGATTTATTATAAAACCATTACAAGCAGGGGCGTACCTAGAGCATTTGGCACCCGGGGCGG